GGGGGGGGCAGCATTTTGGGGGGAAAGATCCATAGGTTGTACCCGGCAGTTGTGGGGAGTTTCTTTAAAGCTGCCCCTTTTGGGGAGGGGGGGACCCTCCTTTCCGTGTCTTGTCTCCATCAGTTGCTTACAAAACATCTTTTGTGACCCTTTTTGCAGAACGGATGGTTTCTGAAGCCAAAAATAACAAAAAGAGCTTGGAAGGTAAGCAGCTTCTTGGGCCTTACTTGACTTACAGTTGTTCGTTTAGCGACCGTTCCCAGTTACAACGGCACTGAAAAAAGCGACTTAACGACCGTTTTTGCACACCATCGTTCCGGCATCCCCGCGGTCACATGGTCAAACTTCGGACGCTCGGCCAATGGCTCATGTTTATCACAGTTTTGCAGCCTCCGAGGATCACGCGACCGATCCCCTTTTGCGACTTTCTCACTAGCAAAGTCCACCGAAAAGCCAGATTCACTTAGCCAACTAACTAACTGATTCACTTAAGAACGGTGACCTCCTAAAATGGAGGCTAAACGCATTTCACAACCGCCTCGCTTAGTAATGGAAAAATTGCAGTCGTAAGTCGAGGACTGCCTGTATCGGGTGGGGTAGGGTTAGGAGTAGAAATGCTCCCTTCCTGGAGATGCGACCGATCAGGAATTCAGCCACGTGTCCGAGTCGTTATCCAAGGGCTGACGTGGCTCTTCTGGACCCAGGTCAATATCTTTTTGTCTGAAATGGCATAGGGTTTCCTGCCTGAGTAGGGGGTTGGATTAGATGACCTCCAAGGTCCCTTCCAACTTTATTATTATTATTGTTACTAGCTGTACCCGCCCACGCGTTGCTGTGGCTCAGTCTGGTTAGCGTGTGTTGCTTTTACGTCCAACAGATGGCGCTGTTTTTCAAAAAAGCATGTTTTTACCTGTCGCAGGTGTGACATCTATATAATAGGTATATAAAAACACACGCGTATTCGAATGCAATGTTGTGTCAAAATTTCAAAGCAATCGGTGAAGAACTTTCAGAGATTTAAGATATTGAACAAACGAACATTTACATTTTTATTTAATGATGATGGTGGTGGTGATGATGATGAGATGATGATGATGATGATTATTATTATTATTATTATTTATCATCATCATCTTCCTTAGCATCTGGGCTCAGAAGAATGGATTATTCTCATGCTTTGATAATGGGTAGCATCTAAATCAGGGTCTCTCAAAGTTGGGTTCTTTAAGATGGGTGGACTTCAACTCCCAGAATTCTCTAGCCAGCTAGGCTGGCTGGGGAATTCTGGGAGCTGAAGTCCACCCATCTTAAGGAGGCTTGAGAAACACTAGTCTAGACAGCTGCCTTGAGGAATTCTGGGAGTTGAAGTCCACCCATCTTAAGGAGGCTTGAGAAACACTGGTCTGACTGTTAGCTGTGGAATTCTGGGAGTTGAAGTCCATAAAGCTTAAAAAGGTTCCAGAAGCCTTGGTCTAGGCAGCTGGCTCAGGAATTCTGGGAATTGAAGTCCCCAGGGCTTAAAGGGGCCTTAGAACCCTAGTCCTCCAAAATGAACGAGACAATTAAGTTCCTTTCCCTGGCCGGTGCTGGAGATCGGCCAGTGTTGGAGCCCTGGTGGATTCTGGGCATTGAAGTCCAGAACATCTGGAGAGCAGCTAGTGGAGAAGGCTGCCTATAGGATTGTTTATAGCGGGGTCTATCCTGAACTCTTTCGAACAGACAGCTGCCTGTCCTGTGGGAAGAAAAACCCGGTCACTTTCCACCCGCTGTTCGAAGGAGGACTCTGCCGGACCTGCCAGGTGAGTTGGGCACGGGGCGGGCAAGATTGTGCGTTCACCTGGCATCAGGTAGATCCTTTCGCTTGGCCAAGGCAGGGCCTTTCGTCACCTGTAGCTCACTTCAATAGGATGCTGAT